TTTGAGCATGTTCCATTGCAGATTTCACCTTTAACAACAAGACAAAGCACTTTGAAGTACAATGGAATAAAAACACAATCGATAGCAGGCAGATTCTTCTCCTATGTCAAAAGATCTGTTTAAAGCTTTGTGGAAATCAAAATGCCCAAAAAAAATCAGCATTCTTTCTTGGATTTTGTTTAATAGTTATCTGAATACAGCTGATTTGCTTCAAAGGAAGCTTCCTACTTCATGTCTTTTGCATCCTATTTGCTGTCTTTGCCATGCGGAAGGGGAATCTCTGTCATCTATTTTTTGGATGTTCTTTCTCAATGGCTTGTTGGTACAAACTGTCAAATCAGCAACAACCCAAAAACTTGAGCGGATGGGTTATGGGTTATGGCTGGGGCAAACAAAAGAATTGCATTTTAGTTCAAAGGAATTGCAAAAACTTGAAAGGAATTGCATTTTAGTTCCGGCTGGGGCAAACAAAAGAGGATGGATGGTATTCCAAGATGTTAGGCATCACGAACTTCCATCACGAACTTCCACAATGGTATGATATTGTCCACTTTGAGCATAAGCTCTCATAAGTTTGCTTTTGGTTTCCCCAAAATGCCCATACCAATGGAGATAGTGTTCCTTACTTATACACCCATGATCTTCCTCCTAATTAGCCAATATGAGACTACTCCTCTCAATAATCCTCAATAATCCTCTCCTCGAACAAAGTACGCTATAAAGTCTCTCCTGAGCCTCCTTCTCTAAAGCTCTCGAACAACCTCCTCTTAATCGAGACTCACAACTTCTTTGTTCGACACTTGGGAATTCTATTGGCATGACTAAGTTAAGGGCATGACTCCGATACCATGTTAGGAATCATGAACGTCCAAAATGGTATGATATTATCCATTTTGTGCATAAGCTCTCATGGCTTTGCTTTTGGTTTCCCAAAAGGTCTCATACTAATAGAGATAATGTTCCTCGTACTAATAGAGATAATGTTCCTTACTTATAAACTCATGATCTTCCTCCTAATTAGCCAATATGAGACTACTCCTCTCAATACTCTCCAACACAGGAAATTTGGACGAGTTTTTATCTGGTTCTATAAAGATTGATTCTTCTAAAAAAGATCAAATTGGTTATGAAGTGCATGGGTCTTTAGTTCGGGATGGTACGAGGACTTCCTCAAATGATATTGCTGTTCCAATTAAGGATTTTTGGATAAAAAACTAAAGGATGCAGTGACTTTGGATTTTCAGTTGCTTTTTGTAATTACAAGGCTTCACACTTTTGAGGATTGTTAGTTAATTTCTGGAAGTTGCATGCTCAACCCATTTTCTGCTGATGAAGTCTAATTAAAATGGACATTTGTGAGGGTTTAGAAGTTAAAGGAATCGTTGATTCTTGGCAAGATCATGGAAAATTTGAATGGGCGGAGAGTTTTGGACGAATGATCCAATTTAAAAGTTTACCTATTCCAAAATTTTGAGGCTATTGGACAAAAATGCAGTGGATTCATTAGTATTTCGTTGAAAAACCATAAACATGTTGAATTGATTTGAGGCTTGCATTGAAGTGAAGAAGAATAATGTACTTCTATCCATGCCAATGTGGTTATTCATGATTCAACCCATGCTGATGTTGTGCAAATTTCTTCTTCAGTTGAGCGTGCTTCATCTAGAGTGGAAATTTCGAATATCATGGATTTCGATTGGTTTAGCAATCCTTTGGATCGTTTGAGGACTTGGGAAGTAAAAGGAAGATGAACGGTCTCCTATTCATCCTTTTATGGTTAATTTTAGCAATAAATTGGAAGGGAAAGATTTAGATGGCTTTCTGTTGTTCTCTTAATTCAGAACTAATTGAGGAAGCTGTTGGTTGCAAGGGCTTTTCACTCAAGGCTTTAGAAATTGATACTTCTCCAATTATCATGCATGGTGAGCTTTTAATTAATAAGGTCGGTTTGGAGATAGGAAATAATTCAGTTGCCTTGCATGTTGAGCACTTCACTACTACAGTTGGTGGGCGAAAGGAATTAAATATAAATTCTTCGGTTGAATATTCGGTAATGGAGTCTTCTTCACTTCCCTATGTTGAAAAGGATAAAAAGTGCCTACATTTAAGTCAGGACAGAGTTCGACTGTTGGTGTCTCTCGATTGGACTGTTGACCGTTAAAGAAGATAAAGACCGATTTATTGAAGCTTATTCAAAATTTTATAAAAGGAAAAAAGTCTCTGACCTTCCATCTTCCCAAATTTCAGATGATTTTCACCATGGTAAAAAGGGAAAATAAGTGACAATGCACTAACCAGCCGAAGGTCGACGCCACTTAAATCCAAGCTGCAGCCACCATGCTTGTGCATTTCTACTGCCGCATTAGTCTCATCCAAAAGTCTCAAGCTTTCTTCATATGTCCGGTTCAAAGACCAAAGTTGGGCCTGTTCTTGAGCAATAAAGTGATTCAAAACAAGTTTAAATGTAACATGAAAGAAATTTCCTAAGGTAGTTAATATCAACTACTTTTTTTTTTTTGTTTTTTTGGAAAATTTTTCATTGAAATAATGTAAAGAGACTAATGCTCAAAATTACAAACTATCCCAGGGCAACAATACAAAAGAAAGTACAAGGAATATATAAAGGCGTTCCAATTTAAACATATATCGTTAATAGAATAATCTGCAAAGAATTTGGAAGGAGAACACCATGTAGAGGCTTTGAGGTGAGTTGAACCAAAGCGATCAACCCAAGGAAGAGACTTGTGAAAAATCCTCTAATTCCTTTTGAACCAGATTTTGGCACCAATGGAGGACCAACCATCAAATGAAGAAGGTTCTCCTTGAATGAATCAAAAAACACCCACTGAACATTAGACATTGAAAAAAAGTCTACCAGCAATGACTTCAGGCTAGGGAATCATTTTTCTTATAGCACCATGATGGACCCTGTGCAATTCTAGTCGTAAACAAGCACGCTGTGGGATGTAGATGAATTTTTTCAACCAAACACAATGGGAATGTAGTATAGAGCGTTTCAGGACTTGTCTGGTGGCTAAAAGATTCATCGAAGCTTATGGGATTGACTATCAAAAGACCTTCGCTCTAGTCGCCAAGCTAAATACTAAATGAGTACTTATATCTGTGGAAACAAATTGAGATTGAACATTGTATCGTGAAAAAAATGCAAAATCGTGAAGCTGGTGATGATACCATTTATAATGTTAGGGAAGCCCTTGAAGGGAAAGACCCTCTCCATAGTAGATCCGTTTTAAGACCGCGAAGCTGGTGATGATATGTAACGGGCGAAAGTAGACCATATATGCTAGCAGTAGGTTTAGGTTTGGGTGTTAAATAAATAAACTCTAATAAAGAACTTCCTCTTAGATTTCTTCAGGAATACAAAATTAAATTCACCATCCAAGCTCCAATTTGAGGGTGTATTATAGAGCAATTGTTTGCATGAAATCTTTTAGCAGATGATATATTTAGACTTACATTTTATCAATCGGTTGGTTATGATGCTATCCAACTTTCAGGAATTAGTTTGGCCTAACTCAGTAATATGCATCCAAGTCTATAAATCAAAAATTGAAGCAGTACTCTTCATAGGAAAAAAACAGAAGCATGGACAGGAATATGAGAATTTAGCTGTGATACAAACCTTGATAGCTTGACGACCCAGTGAAGTGCGGGCGAAGGAAGCAACGGAATCACAGAGTTTATCCCATTCCAGCGCTCTGAGACTATCAAGGTGGATTGAATGTCTGTTTCTGTCACCTCTAATGTCATTGCCGACGGAAAGGTTTGCGGAGAGGGAGAAGTGTACGGGTACAGCTCGATTCTGGAATCTGAACGAACTGACACTGATAACCGGCAGTGTAGCAGAGTTGATCCAGGTGAGGTGGTGGCCAAAAACAGCTGCAGAAAGCATCGTTTTAGCCTGGCTGCCACCGACGAGGGACGAGAGAGTTTTGTCCTAAGAACAAGCTGCTACTCCCGCTAATAGCTACCTTTGCTCATGCTATCTACATTCCAATGGATGGTATTTTGCCTTTTCCCGGAAAATAATATTAATTTATATTTTACGAGATTTTCCAATCTTTATCCCCAAAACTTTTCCACTAAAAAGTTTTACTTTAATGAATTCGCTTAAATATTATAATTTTTACGCCCTATTTAATAATCATTATTTTGTATTAAAAATGATGTAAAAAATTTCATAATTTTTTTTCTTTCTAAAATTCAAAATCTTATCAAAATTAAATTTGGGTAATGTTAAAATATAATTTTAAGACTGTATGCTGTTATTTCTAATGTTTGGATTTTTGCTCACAACTAAAAAGGTGAAGAATCTAATGGTCCATTATATTTTGTAATAATATAATATTCTCTTTAAAATTTTAAGTTGGGGAAGTTATTCTTCCTTAGTAATAATCTTTAATAAGTTGAAGAACAAGAGAGAGCAGTATAATATAAAGGTTCTTTTATTTCAGTTTTTTAGTCAAATATTATTATCAATTAAATTATACTCTATACGGACGTGACGTTAAAATATGATTAAAAATAAATATATAAGACATTTATTATATTTCCACTTTTACCCAGTTTTGATAAGCTACTTATCATATTATTTTCATAATAATGCCAACAAATTCCAAAATATATTTATGTATCATATGAGAAGTCCTGATCGGCGGCCGGCTGGTCCGTTCCAGTGACGTGTTCAAAAGAGGTTTGAAATTGATACGTTCAAAAAATTTGTGAAAAAAAACAATTTATTTTCGGATGAAAAAATAGGAGAGAGTAGTACAAAAATGAAACAAAGAAAGCTTAACACGTGTCACTATATTATTGACCATGTGGATTTCGTCTCTTTAATCATAGTCAACTCTCTTAGCTTTTTAAAAAAATTAAAGCTTCATCATATGGGGAAGGAATAGATGAGGCAATCATGCAGGCCGAAAAAGTAAAGATCCAGAACAGAGCAGGCCGGCATAACAAGATTCTTGTTAGACTCTCACAAAGGGTGGATGAGCCAGGTGGTGTACTATATATATATATATATGGATAAGCCAGCCGCATTGTGGCCCATGAGATGTGTGTACTGTGTGAATTGAAGGATCTGGTTTGTTAAGAATTGGAGAGGGGATAGAAAGAAAATTTTGAAAAATCCAGTCGCAGAGAAATCAGGGGTTTGTTAAGAATTGGGGTCGCCACTCTACCCACTCTTCCCACGTGTTCTGATTCGCGAACCCTGGTATATTAACTAACTGCGCCTCGACGAATCCATCTTCGATCCATCTTTCATTCTTTTGGGGCTCATGGGTTTCCAGGGAGATGAAGAATCCGCACCCCAAATTCCAAGAAAAACCCTATTCAGATATAACTCGCCGCTGGTTCAGGTTTCGTTAATTGGGTTGGTTTGTTTTTGCTGTCCGGGTATGTTCAATGCGCTGAGTGGCATGGGGGGTGGGGGCCAGGTGGATACGACGGTAGCCGATAATGCTTCCACCGCCCTGTACACCACTTTTGCGATATTCGGCATCATCGGTGGTGGCGTGTACAACATCCTTGGCCCCCGTCTCACCCTTTTTGCCGGTTGCTCTACTTATGTCCTCTACGCTGGATCCTTCCTCTACTACAACCACTACAAGGAGCAGACCTTCGCAATCATTGCTGGGGCAATCCTGGGTGTAGGTGCGGGTTTCCTTTGGGCGGGCGAGGGCGCCATCATGACCTCGTATCCGCCGCCCGACCGCAAGGGCACTTATATTTCCATCTTCTGGAGTATATTCAACATGGGGGGCGTTATCGGGGGTCTAATTCCCTTTGTCCTAAACTATCACCGCACCAGTGCTTCTTCCGTCAACGATGGTACCTACATCGGCTTCATGTGCTTCATGTCCATTGGCGCTCTCATTTCTCTGGCGATTTTGCCGCCGAGCCGCGTGGTTCGTGATGATGGTTCACGATGCACCAACATCAAGTACTCCAGCGTTTCAACCGAGGTTGTTGCGATTCTCAAGTTGTTCCTAAATTGGAAGATGCTGTTGATTGTCCCTGCTGCTTGGTCTAGTAACTTTTTCTACACCTACCAGTTCAATAACGTTAATGGGGTGTTATTTAACTTGAGGACAAGAGGGTTCAACAACGTGTTCTACTGGGGAGCACAGATGGTGGGCTCGGTTGGGATAGGATACATATTGGATTTCAGTTTTAAGAGTAGGAGGGCCAGGGGTTTGTTTGGAATTGGCGTGGTTGCGCTCTTGGGTACTGGAATATGGGCAGGTGGCCTGGCCAACCAGCTCAGATACTCCCGCCAAAACTTGCTAGACAAGTTGGATTTCAAGGATTCAGGTTCTGATTTTGTTGGCCCTTTCTTCTTATACTTCTGTTTCGGGTTGTTGGATGCCATGTTCCAGAGCATGGTGTACTGGGTGATTGGGGCCTTGGCTGATGATTCAGAGACCTTGAGCAGGTATCCCCCTCAAACTTGTAATATTCTTCTTTTGTTCTTTTTCAAAACTTGTTGACTCACATTAGAAGACATCAAACAGGTATAGTGGATTTTATAAAGGGGTGCAGAGTGCAGGTGCTGCAGTTGCGTGGCAAGTTGACACCCACCACGTCTCCTTCATGTCCCAGTTGGTCGTGAATTGGTCGCTCACAACACTGAGTTATCCTCTGCTGGCAATTCTGGTCTTCTTGGCCGTGAAGGATGACACGAAGCCTGCTGACGAAACACCTAAGGAGGCTACTCCTCCATCAACCTTGACACAGCTTTAGGTTTCCATAGTTGTGTAAGTTAGATTTTGTCCACATCTTGGTGTAATGTTAAGCACATGTTGCTGAAAAATGCAATGTCGCACAGCTCAGACGCTTCTATTATTAGCCTTTCCTGAAAAATGCAATACTCCTTGCTGTCCTCCAAGTTGATGTTGTATATGAGTCAGCTCAATAATGTTCGCAAGCGTTGTTCCAAAGTCACGAAAGTGGATTCTACTAATTTAAGATACCTCAGAGTTGAGGAGAAAAGTTTTTGTTTTCTACTAAACATTACTCTAAACGGGGCAGGGTCTTCTAAGAACATCTTGATCTACCTTGGATGTGTTGATCTCCAAGCCAATTCCACATATTTTGCTATTTCAGCAATAATCTCTATTACCAATCCTTCAGTCCATTTGGGCTAAATTACAAAAAGTAATACTGAACTTTGCCCTCTAATTTAAAAAATACAGTTATAATATTAGGACTTGACCTAGAATGTTATCAAACAATCTCCTTGGTGTGGTATTTTAACGTACCTTAGTCCGCAGTAAATAAAGGTGGAATAATAGAGGTGGAATAAGGGAAAGGGAGCGAAGCAGCAAGATGAGTGAAAGGATGAATGATGGTAACAAAAAAAATAAACAGATAAATGGTTACTAATTTTGAAAGGCTAATAAAATGCATTGTTAGCCCGAAATGGGTTAGCGTAGAGCTGAAAAGGATAAAAATGTTGTATCAAAATGGAGCTGATTCAAACTGTTGTTTTATGAATTTGTTGGATATGGGTTCCTTAATTATATTTTCTGTGGACATCCAAGGCATTGTGCTGGGTTATTTTACTTAAAAAATGAACACATGGAAGGTACAATAAGAGGGCAACAGAGAAATGAGATGAATAGCCATTCACTGTTCCCTAAAGCAGAAGCAGCAGTTGTAATGTAATGTAATGAATGAATGAATGAAGAAAGAAGGAACAATGGAATATGAAGAATTTAGATGGGAAATGGTCTCAGCCTGGGGCTTGTTCGTTGGTGGAGGTACAAACCAACTCGGAAGGGCTGAGGACATTGATGCGAGGAATGGGAAGATGGAGGGGGAGGGGTTTATAGTGGAAGAAGGAAGGCCCTCATTTTTGAAGGACAATTCGCTGGTCTCGAATGCCACCCATTATTCATCTGCCCAATTCTTAGAATTTTTAGGACAATCTTTAGGCCCTCATCTATTGTGTCATTAATAAATATATAACACTAAAGCCGTCGAAGAAAGAGAATGACCCTGGTGTCAAACAAAAAGACGCGTCCAGACGAAGAAAAGATGAAGGCTTTGTTGTTTGGTGAGTTGGGCCACTTGTCCTCTACCGTTCCCTTGTTCCTTCCCCAACCGTCAAGAAAACTCGATTCCAAACACCCCTCTTCCTTCCTGCCCTAAATCTAGCTCTCATTCACCAATAACGCCACCTCTCCAAGCTTGCTCAACATGGTCCCCTTCTCCAAACCCCCGATTTCCATCCTTCTCTTCTTTTCCCTTCTTATCTTCGTTTTTGAAGTCCGATCGCAGCATGTTTCCTCCGCCATCCGCTTGCCTTCGGAAGCCACCAATAACGACCGCGATCTAGATCTCTGCCCTGTGTCCCTGCCGTCTTCTTGCCCTGTGAAATGCTTTAGGACGGACCCAGTCTGCGGCGTTGATGGCCTTACCTACTGGTGTGGTTGCGCCGATGCTCTGTGTTCAGGTGTCAAGGTCGCCAAGATGGGATTTTGTGAGGTCGGCAACGGCGGTTCTGCTCCTATTCCTGGCCAGGCCCTCCTCCTGGTGCATATTTTGTGGTTGATCATCCTTGGAGTTTCCGTCTTGTTTGGACTCTTCTGAATCTTTCGGCACTTACATTCCTTTGGCTACCACGGGGTTATCTGGCTTATTGTATGAATCTCTTTCTTTCCCTTTACATTCTTCTTCTTAATTTTTTTTCCCCTCCCAACCCAATATTGTTTTACTTAGAACATTCTTTTGACAGGATGGATACCAATTTCATACAATTCTTTTGTCTACGAACGAGTATTATACTTCTCATTCTGTGCCCTAGCTAATATGTCTGCAAGATTTGTTCTGTGGTAGACAAACCGTTGTGAATTGCTCTTCTTTCGATTGTATTGACAAACTTCCAATCATCAAAGGGCTAACTAATGCTACTATGTTTTTTTTTTTGGGTTCTCTTAGTGCTGCTGCTCTTGGAAAGAAAATTTAAGCCTTGAAATTAAAACTGAGATTCTGATCAACCTACTCATGAAATTAAATGAGATCGTCTTTTGTTTGGGTCGGGGCTCCTGGAGGGGTTTTGAGCTTGTGTCAATTGTTCGACAATTTGATTCCCCTTTCTCTGAGAATTTCCGTTGTTCCTGAAGAACCTTCATCGTTCACATGAATTTATGTCGTCTGGAAGGAGTGTGGAAGCTATGTTAAGGTAAGGTGGGTTGATTCCCTGATAAGCTCCCTCCAGACTTGCATGTAAACTTTAATAAAATAAAAAAAAAAAAAAAAAAAAAAAAAAAAAAAGAGGAAGATGTTGTTGTGTAAAATGTGAGTTGAAATGAATAGAAATTAAAATATTTATTGTCGAAACAGTGGGCTTATATGAATTTGTCAAGACAGACAGACATTCTTGATGAAATAAGAAATGCTTTTGCGCCAATGAATCTGAAGCAATCCCGCAGCCCCAGAGCATAAGAGAAGACTCGTAAGAAACAATATTGGATAGAGAATGAATTTCGAGTGGCCTCTGTACTGGTACAGGTACAGTGTCCTCTCACCCAAAAGAAGAAAAAAAAAACTACAGCCATAAGAAAGGAAACCCTTCACTAGGTTGGTTAAATCAATTTACTATGCCGCATTCTTGGGATTCTGTAGAGAAAATCCTGGGCTCCCATTTTCAACTTCGTCACTAACTCTAACAGTTTGGTTGTTATCTCCCCCGATTTCTGCAGCCAGATTGCCCTCCTGTATGCCTTCATTTAATCCACTAGTTCTGGCTTCACCGCCAGAAACATTGCCAATGAGGCTCTTATATATAGTAAGGGCTTGAGCCATCATGTTAGCTGGATTTGCCGCTGAACTCGGAAGCAACATTGTGGTGCCCTGGAGAGGAAGTTCAAGATAAGGATGATTAAAACCCTAGAATCAAGGTCCTAGTCAACTAAATCATTACAAGCTCAAACTTTACCTCTTTGGCAATATTACTGAAGGCTTGTACATACTGCTCAGCGATTCTCAAACTAGCAGCCTGTCAATAACCCAGAGATACTTTAGTTATGCATGCCATAGGCAGTCAATGATTTAATCTTCGTAATGAACAATCACTGCATGTGTCATAGACAGTACAAAGAAGAAAAAATGACTTTTGAGTAACGCTCAATACATTACATAACTCCCTTTTAAGGTCCGAGGTTCAAATCACTCGTTGTTTGTTAAACTTAATAACAAAAAGGAAACTTAATAACAAAAAGGAAAGAATTAAGTACTACAACCAGAAAAGAAATAAATTTTTTTTTAATTGATGTTCCAAATATAAAAAAATTACCTCTGTAAACTTTCAAATAAGTCTTTCTCACATAGTTTGGTCATTTTAATTCTCTTTTAGACGTCATAGGTTTAAACCCCTCCCCTTGTTCGTGTTAGACTGAAATGGTTCAACATTACATGAGTATCAAGGCCGTCTCCTAAACTAAGTACTTACTAATCAAAAAGAGGAGAATGAGTGTACGACACATATCTATTTTCAATATATATGTAAATAATAAGTTCAGTGATTTAAATTAATAAAAATTATGGATGATAATTTTGAAATCAGAGCTCAAAGGTTCGATTGTACGAGAGTTAGGATCAGGGGAAATTAAATGTAGCTTTCACTTTTCACTAGCCCCCAAGGGGTGGCCTCATGGTCTCTTTGGGGGTTGATTAGGTTTATACTCCAGGTCTTAGCCCAAGGTTCAATCTTCAAGATGGCAAGCTAAACAAAAGAGAACTCTTAGTGTTTTCCCATTGCTGGCAAGTTTTCCCTTGGTTTTGTGGGGTTCAACCCAATACCATCGTAATAGAAAACATATATATCTTCATCTCCGGATGTTTCAACATTCAAATTAATTGTGATTGTCCATTGAAGTTCAAAATATGATATAGTTTGATCATGTTGGTTTTGATTTAGGCACCAACTGAGAATACTAAGCGCCAATGTATTAAAAGCTAAAGTATGAGGATGAGGATCTCACCTCGACACCTCCACTTTCTTTGAGGGCCTGTGACACAAGAGCGAGTCCTTTGGCTGTTGCTTGGGCTTTTACGAGGATGGCCTCAGCTTCACCTGGTGAAGTCGGGGCAATGTCCAAGGATGAAAATAGAAGAATAATGACATAAAAAGCAATACTCATCCACCCAGGTATTCAAATGCCACTTTAATCAAAGGAACAGGAGACTGGAATGAGGCAAGTCGTATAAGTTGTAAATTTGGCAATTGAAAAGAAAGGTTAAAATTTCAACCAACATTTTCCACCACTGCCACCAGACACACACACACACACACACACACACACACACACACAAAAAAACAAAAAAAACAAAAAAAAAAAATCAAAGAAGAAGAAGAAAAGAATAGTAGGTGATGCTAAACAATAATAGGCTTTTCAAGTTTTGTTGGGTTACCTCTCTCTCACATTCGTGCAAAAGAAGTAAATATTTTGACAACAAAGATGAGACGTGGGCAAAACTGCACCTTGATAGAAACCTAAAGTGTCATCAAGAATTTTAACCAGGAAGGCTGAAATGATAGCGGAAAAAAGAAAAAAAAAAGTCTCTTGCAACTGAGATGAGCATGGGATCATCTTGGTAGAAACTTCAGTGATATCAGAATTTCAAACTAGATTAAGGCCAATCAAGAATCAAAAAAAGAAATTTGAGACCAAGATGATAGCATAAAGGTTGTTATCCTCTCTTGGTATTGAGACAACAAATAAACAAATGAAAAAAGGGGGGGTAATCACTTTCGTACTGTGATGACATAGAACAATTGCTATCCTATCTTATCCCAAACCTTGACTTGCAGTGTTTGGGGCTGCATTGGACCCCTTTTATCTTGGCCATATCACTCAACAATGGAAAAGATAAACTGGCTGATAATTTTCACAGTTTACACCTAGAAAACTTTCAGCGTACTCAGATGAGATAGTTGAACAACGGTAAAGAAGAGGAAAATAAATAAGTGTCAAATGTAATTTACAGGAAAAAGGCTTTGTATTCTCGCATAGAGAGGGGTGCCTCGAAACCATCTACCCCTTCTTTAAACCTACTTTTGTTAGAATCATGTGAAATACTTTATACTTAATTGAGTGTGCCTTCGAGTAACTAGTACCATCACATTAAATCAATCAAGGAAAGCAGATGTACATTTTCACAGCACTAATTGAATAGTAATAGAGACTGACCTAGCGCTCTGTTAACTTGATCCATTTTTGCAGCTTCAGATTCTAATATAACTGCATTCTTCTTTCCATCAGCAATATTGATGTTGGCCTGCCTTTCTCCTGTTAAAAATTGAAGGGCATCAATATCAATGAATGAATATCAGAACCTAATAGTACCAAAAGAAAGAGACTAATTCCAGTTCCTCAAGAATTTTGGTTTTGCCCACCCCCCCC